TATGTGTATCTTCACAAAATCTGGCAGGCTTTTAGTAAACATTGTAACATGAAACTACATTTGTTTATCCTAAATAGCTTTTAACTCATAACAGTATGCATCTATTTACACTCAAATGTTATTGCTTTATTGTCCTTTGAACCATGTCTAACTACTAGGGGGTGCGTATCTCATCATAGTAGTCAATACGATACGTATCTAAATACAGTTTTACAACGTTTGACAGTCTTGGATGTAATTTATTATCTATATTAATAATATTGTCTTCACACTTTACAGTGCTTTTTCAAATTCTCAATTTGATCAACTTTGCATGTAATGTTTTTGATAAAAGAAAAAAGGACAACATGTACTCAATACTCATCTTCCTTTACTGAATCATTAATTTTTAGCAAAAATACTTTATTAAAAATTCAGATTTTTTCTGTACAAAAGACATAACATTTACTGAAAGTTTGCCAAATTTTGTGAAGATACATAAATCCTATTATATTAGACGATGTATTGATACAATCGTATCGCGGATTCACGATACAATGCTGATATCATATCACTATATTGCCACACCTTTACTAACTACTATTTGTGCCATTATAAACTGTAAGTCACTTGATGAATGTGCAGCTCACATTAAACTATCGAGTTACATTACACATGAGCTGCTTGTGAGTGTATCTCGTGAAAATTTGTTATTATTATTTATATTACCTAATCTAACCTTAATTAACCTAAAAAGTTTCCTATTTTTACATTTTAGTTACTTTTGTAATAAAAAATAAAGAATACAAATTAAAAACGAGAAATAAAGTACTTACCTGGGTCTTTTTTTTTTGCTGTTGACTGTCAATGACACTTAACCCTATCGCTACAGGTTTGCCTATGGCCATGGGTTAAAGGACATGTCATCACATTTGTTGATTTACATTCAAAATGTTATTGAACTACTATTTTATGAATGTATGTAAATAAGTTTGGTATCAAATTGTATAATTAAAATTTCATTATTATACATCAGTTAATTCCTTAATTTAAAAATAAATATTAATACAAAAATCCTAACTTTGGTTCAAATTAGTTGTTTGTGATGTCCAAGTACAAAGTATATAGTTTCTTATGAATTAGAACCTCAAATTACCAATATTGACAAGCTAGAATATAAAATAAGAACTTCCTATCTTATCTATTTGCTGAGATATCACTATATTTAGTAAATCAAACACATTGGCCCCACCCACCTCTTCCATTTTTTGTAAATACTTGCTTACATATGCCTACTTCGCTCTATGACGTGTTTATAACCAATCAAAAGCTCAGAATGTCAACCCATTTGATTTTCTCAGCCATTGTGAAGTGTTTACATGGTAAAACCTTCCTTTTCATGGTAGGATCAAAGAGAAGAGGTAAGAGATTATGGAGTTCGAAATATCATATTCTTTTAGACCCAAGTGCAGCTCAGTTACTGAGCTTGATAAATTATAGTAGAAGTCTGTGGTGTTGATATAGAAATTTATGGTTAATTGTTATTTCAAACTGCATATATAAAACCTAAAAAAATTATTTTGTTTTACATCTTCCACATGCAAAATGTGACAAGGCTTAGCAAATTATGGCAAGCAGCAAGTGAGTACAAACTTCTTAAGTAGAAAAGATCATTGTTTTCTATATTTCTTTATTTACTGTTCTGTGTTTTAAGAGAAATAACTAAATAATAAATGCAAGTTTTATACTATTGGATATGGTAACATGACTGTATGTACACTGCATCATTGCAACTTCTGTGATGTTAGTCAGATATGGCTGAAAGGTCAATAAAATATAAATAATAAATATATATAGATGTATAATGTTATTAGATTTAAGATATTTAGATTAAACATTCATAGTTTCTTGTTATAATCTCTAGTCATTCTAGAACAAAAAAGTGTTATATATATTCATTTCCAAATTTTTTATGGTGGTTACGAGATCAGTCAAGTCAACCAAACCCACAAAGAGATACAATAGTGAAAATAACAGATAAGATATAATTTTTTTAAAAAACATTTTTTGATAATTATCTGTAGGTTATTAGGAGGTTATAGAAATTTCGCATCTGAAATTTGAAAATTTTTTTGATGCAGAAAAGTATTTTTAATCTTAAAATCAAAATTACTTTGCATGTTAAATAGTCAACATTCAAAAAGATAACATGCATGATCAATTCATTACAAACAAAAATCATAAACTGAATTTTTTAAAAATCTGATATTATATGTACAAAAGCCTTGTAAGATTTACTAACAACCTGCAAAACTTCATGAATATACACAAACTGAATTAAAAGTCACAGTATGAAAACTATGACAAGCACAAAATGGTTACAAGGTCAGTCTCTGGGACTGAACTCATAGTGAAAGAGTTAACCCTACTTTATTTTCATAGTAATGATACTACTGCACTAAAAAAAAATTCTTTAATTTAATAATGCTCCAAAGAACACAGAATAATAACATGCAAAAAACAGAATATGTCACATAACTATCACAATTTTTCTGGCTTTCTAAGTATACAACAAGAGCCATTAGAAAATCAAATAAGCTCATCAATGTCTTTTCTGTGGGAATAAAGCTTGAAGTGAGTGTGAAGCTGACAATTCTCTGTACAGAAAACAATGTAATATAATATGTCACTTGATAGAGTAAAACCTTGGTTTTCTATTGGTTATAAATAATATGGTATTGAATGCCAGAGAGAACTATTGGCAATTTCTGAAAGATAGGATGTGATAAACGGGCATGGCAAGAGGGGTCTGATTTTTTTTATTTGATGGCTCTGTAACCAGATATGATTGAAGACTATACAAATTATGCTTTACCTGAGCAATGACAACATTATAATAAGTAATTTACATTGAATTTCATACTTCTTGAATGGGTGGTAAATAAATTAAAGAGGAGATGCCTAAAGAAATAATGTCACAATTCTCATACTGTGGTAAATTTGTGATTTTTTAAAATACTGCTTTACAAAATTAAGAACTTAAAACTTACAAACTATTAAAATATGGGTAATGGGCTACATCTTTATGCTATATTTATTGGTATACCATGATAAGAAAGTAGTTTAATTGAATTTTGAATGTAACTCAGAAAAACCGCTGACATTCTCACAAAATGATGCTCATAGCAATAGGGTTAAAGATATTTCAATGTGGAAATTTGGCTTCATATCATTGAAATTTACATTTTTCAATGATTAGACACAAATAGACCTGATCATACTGCCAACAAACTATAACATATTTGACACAAACCTACTTCACAATGCCTGCTTTTAAGAAAATCTATGACATTTACAAAGGAAAATGTAAACTTTTTATTGTTACTAAACAAGTGTTTTGCAAAAAAAGATTTTTATACTGATAAATGAAACTATTCTACCAAAAATGTATAGTAATATTCACAAAGTTCTCACATTTAATTAACAACAAATATCTTTATAGCATTGAGAATCTTACTTAAAATGAGAAAAAAATAACAATAATACATACATTTGTAAATTACACCACACCTCTTATACCCTTTAACCCTCTCCACAGGGATCAAGGGTCAAAGGCCATGTCATCTTGTTTGTTGACTCGCATTCAAAATTTTATTAAACTATTATTTTATGAATTTATGTCAATAAGTTTGGTATCAAACTGTAGATTATAATTCAAATTTTAGTATTATACATTATTTCATTTCTTGATTTAAAAGAAAATATTAAAAGAAAATACCTAAACAGTGATTTTTGTGTGTCACATGGTACGTTGAATACACAGCACTGGTTAAAATTAGATGTTTGTGATGTCAAAATACAAAGTCTACAGTTTTGTACAAATTAGAAACACAAATTACCAATATTGACAAGCTAGAATATAAAATAAGAACCTCATATCTTTTCTATTTTCGAGATATCGCTCATGCACTGAATCAAACACAGTGGCCCTGCACACCTCCTTCCATTTTTGGCAATGTTCCTTTATATACACATACTTCTGTCTATGACATGTGAATAACAAATCGAAAGCTCAGAATATCCCTCTAGTGGCTTTCTCGGCCATTATCAAGTATCACAACATCACCTCATTCTTTTGATATAAAAATTTTAAGCTGGTAAGTTGAGTCTTTAGTCTATTCAAAATTTCATAATTTGTTAGACTGAAATACAGCTTAGTTACTGAGCTTGATAAATTTTAGTTGAATTCTATGGTATTGATATAGTAATCTATGATTTTTTGGTTATTCAACTGTATATATAAAACCTCCACATGCAATATTTTAAAAGACTTAGCAACCTACGTCAAGAAGCAACTGAGTAGAAAGGTCATAACTAAAAGAGATAACTGTTTGCTTTACTTTTTTATTTACTGTTCTATGTTTTAAGAAAAATAAGTTTAAGAACTTATTTCTAAATAACAATAATCCAAATACATATATAATGTATAATAATTGAAATGTGACTGTATTTTACAAAATACTAGTCTACAAAAACACAGCCAAGACAAGTCCTGTGTAAAGACTAAAGGTCAGTTATACATCTTTGGATACGGTAACATGAGTGCACATGCTCCTTTTCATTGTAGCTTCTGTACTGTTAGCCAGGCATGGCTGAAAGTTCAATATAATAAATATATATATAAATGTATAATGTTATGAGATTTAAGCTATTTAGTCAAAACATTTGTGTTTTTGTGTTATAATTTGTAGTCATTCTAGAAGGAAAAAGGCATAATTTATATTTATTTCCTAACTTTTTTAACGTGGTTATGAGATCAGTCAAATTGACCAAACCCCTACAGAGAT